TGTGTGTGTGTGTGTGTGTGTGTGTGTGTGTGTGTGTGTGCGCGCGCGCGCGCGTGTGCATGCATGAGTGTTGCTTGCGCGTGAGCTCGTGCATGCATGCGTGAATTTGGGGGCGCCTTTGCAACGTGGAGGCGTGTCGTAGGCGATGGGTGCGTTGCAGCCGGGTCGGCCGGATGCGCAGGCGCGGGCTGCGCATCGTCGCCGGCAGCGCGCAGCTTGAGCAGCTGGAAAGGTGCGGCAGGGGTCAGGGCGCTGCACGCCCGTTGGCGGCCTGCAGGCTGCTGCCCTTTCTACTGCCCGCTCAACCATGCCCCCACCTCTCGTACCATTGCCGTTGGTGCAGGTGAGTGACGTGGACATGCGCCACAAGGTGAACACCTTCATCCTCAAGAACCCCCCGGAGAACAAGCTGTCCAAGGAGGAGAAGAGGTGGGGGCGCCAGCAGGGCAGGGGGGGCAAGGGGCCTGACAGGCTGCGACGCGCCGCGATACATGACGCGCGTGGGGTGGCGCTGGCGTGCGGCTGCGACAGGCAGCATCGGAAAACGCGGTCGCAGCTGCTTTTGGCGGGTGTCGGAGCAGGACACTTGCATGGCCAGCCTCGCCCCACCTGACGTACGCCCGGCTGGCGCTGCACTGTCACCCGCAGGCTGAAGAAGGCGGAGGAGGAGCGCATGCGCGACGCGCAGGACGGGGCCAAGAAGGAGAAGAAGGAGAAGAAGGACAAGGGGGAGAAGGGCGACAAGGAGAAGAAGGAGAAGAAGTGAGCGGGAGGGGCGGGCTTGGGCAGTTGTTGGAGGAGCGGGGCGCGAGGGTGGTGGCGCAGGGTGGTTGCGCTGCAAGGGAAGCAGGCACTTCAGGGGAGAGCAGCTGTGTTCATAGAAGGGCATTTGGCGGCCAGCACTGTCGATGGTGGTGTGCGGGGTGAGGTGGCGGCGAAGGCGGCGCCCGTGAGTGGAGGGAGAGGTCGAACAACGCGTCATCTGACGGCCACGCCAGCAGCTGCAGCAGCAGGACGCCTACAGGCAGCGACGAACATGAAATCATCAGCGGCAGCAGCAGCACAAGTTGCAACACTGCACTCTGGGTTCCGTGCCCTGCTCTGCCCTGGCGCTCTTTTGGGGATGCGTGACAGTGGTGCCAAGTGGGGTGGCTCCACCTGGTTGCTGCTACGCTCCCAGCCCCTGAGCGCCGCTCCCTCCGCCTTCGCCCCCCCCTTGTTCCCAATCGGCAGGGACAAGAAGAAGAAGAAGGACAAGGGCGCCGACGGCGAGGACGGCGAGGGCGAGGACGCGCCCGCCGACGTCGAGGAGGGCGGCGCCGCGGACGAGGGCGAGGAGGAGGACGAGGACGAGGTGGTCTGGATGACAGACACGAGCGCCGAGGCCGTGGCGCAGCGCGCGGCGGAGCAGCTGTCGGCGGCGACAGCGCAGCTGGTGACTCAGGGCAACATCGAGGCTGAGCTGGAGAAGGAGCGCAAGAAGGCGGAGAAGGAAGCTAAGAAGAAGGTGCGGGGCCGCGGCTTCGTTGATGGAGGGTTTTGGGCCCGCGATGGGGGGGAGGCCTTTGCGCCATTACAGGTGGTGCAGCAGCCAGCGGCAGGCAGCTGCGAAGGTGCTGGTGTCCAGGCGGGCGCAGCGGCGGCGCGAGGCCTGACGTCCCATGGCGCGTCCGTGGTTTGGGGCCCACGGGGCGGGGCCAGCAGGGGCCCAGGGCAGCACCAGCAGCGACCTTATGGCACCCCTGCAATGGATGGATCTGAGGTGATGCCCATGCGTCCATCGCCAGGCAGGGTCTCCCAGCCTCTGCCATCGGCCTGCGCCAACCCTCACCTCACCAGACAACTCATGCTTGCTGCACTCACATCCCCCCCTGCCCCCAAAGGCCGAGGAGGAGGCCGCCGCGCGCCGCGCCGCCGCCAGGCTGGCGCTGGAGACCGGCGAGAAGGTGGACCCGGCCGTCGCCGCCGACGCGCTGCGCGAGGTGCTGGCCGAGGGCGAGGCCGCCACGGGCGCGGCGCTGCGCAAGCTGTCTGTCGAGGGCGGCCTGGCCGGTAAGGCGCGCGCGCTGGTGGAGGCCATGTTTGTGGACGAGCCCGGCGTGGAGGACGGCCCCGCCGCGTCGCTCAAGCTCGCGGCCGGCATCAAGCGCGGCAAGGGCCTGCTGCGGCTCGTCGCGGACGGCGCGCCGGGCCAGCTGGCCGTGCTCGTTGCGCTGGAGTGGCTGTGCGCGGGCGGCGGGGCGGAGGGGCGCGTGAAGGAGGCGGCGCTGGCGCTGAAGCAGTTGTACGACGAGGACCTTGCTGACGAGGACATCATCCTGGCATGGCACGGCCGCGTCGACGCCGCCAAGGCGCTGGGCGTGGGCCCGGAGGGCGCGCGCGCCGTGCGGGCGGCGGTGGCGCCTGTGGTGGAGTGGCTGCAGGAGGGCGAGGAGGACAGTGATGAGGAGGAGGATGACGAGGACGACGAGTAAACGGCGGCGCGCGGCCTGGCACTGCTGCGTGACGGCGTGCGTCGCGCGCCGCCCGGCTCTACACCAGCCTTCATGGGCCGGCATGGGGACGATCAGGGGCTGCCTCGGCGCCCCTATGCATATGGCTAAGGGGCCTGCACGCATGGCGCCCGTTCTTTTTTCGGCAGGCGGCAACAGCCGCGCCCTGGGCGGTGGGGCTGGGGCGCCAGCTGGGCGCATCGGGGCGTGTTTTTTTGGGTGATGCTTGTGGTTTTTTTTGCTGTGTGCCCGTTGGTGCGCTGGAATCGCGTGCATCTATCAGTTACTCCCCATGTCGCCTGACTGGCATGTGCCATGCTCAGATACTTTCCTCTAGCTTTTAGGGCGCCTTGGAAGCGGCTCCTCACCCTTGCAAGTGCAGCTGTCCTGCTGTGTTTCTGGATGTTAGCGCTGCATTTTTCACCATGCGGTGGATAGGAACAGCCATAGAATTGAACAAGTGCACATGCTTGACGGCATGTAACCAGCTCAAACGCACATTGTCATTCCTGGATGAGTCCTGGTTGTTCCAGCCGCGACGAGCCTGGGACGCCGCTTCCGGCACTGACCTGCAAGAGTTCAGCGCTCCTGCAACGAAGTGCAGATGCAAAGCGTGCAGCCAACTATTATTTGCAGCCTCCCTCCCACCACACAGGAATTAGCCGTGATGACTGAAAGGTGACTGTGGACAGGGGTGCCATGTAATCCATTCAGGAGCCAAGCTGGCGCTCAGCTGCAGCACTGTGCGCGCATTGGACTTTGCATGCTTGTGCTGAGGGGTTCGCAAATGAGTTCGCTCACACACCCTACCCTCTTCCACACACACTCACACTTACTCACGCGCACGCACTCACACATGCACATGCACGTGCACACGCACACGCACATGCACTCACGCATGCACGCACGCACACCGGTACAACCACAAACACACACACACACACACACACACACACACACACACACACACGCACATGCAAATTTGCAAGCGCACACCCTCACACATAGGCACATACTATAGCTCAAGCAATTCCCCACTTTCTCTTGCCTCTGCCTCCACCACTCCGGTCACAACCACATTTCCAGCAGCCCCTGGTGTGGGGGCCCAGCGCAATGCACCGTCCGCAATAGGTGGGCGCATCAGTGCGCTCAGCTGGCCTCCAGACCACTGCCGGTTTGGTGCGCACTCATGCGCGGCCCCGCACCACAGGTTTTCGTGTGCAACTCACTCTATATGTCCAACCCAACTTCGCATGATTGCAAGACCAATGCCATGTTGTCATCACATGGGTACAGCATCGCCACGCAACTGCGTGTCCGTCACAATCCTGACTACGTAGCCCTTGCCCACGCAGATGGGCAGAAAACACACGCTGAAGGACCAGGACATTGCGCATATGGTCAACTATGTTCTTCCTGTGTGGATGGCGGGGGCGAGGCGACAGGGAAGCAACGCGTCTTATGAAGATCATGACCCTCGCATGCTGCACCATTCACGACGCAGACGTGACGCTTTGCAAGCGGGCACGTGCCGACGACAAGTCGCAGACATTTTCAATCTCTGAACAGGGAAAATAAAGCCAGGGGCGAGGCCGAAGCCAAGCCGTGGGCCTAGATTCAGGTCGTCAACCTGATCCCCATCCGTATTCCGGCAGCGCCGAAGGGACGGGCCCCCATTTCCACAGCCCGCAGTGAAGCAGGAAGGGACACTAGAGGTAGTTTTCCCCCGTGGTATGGCCCACGAAGAAAGCCGAACAGTACTTGATCTCCACCAGACTCGAGATGGAGACTCCTCGATAGGTAGTCTGCTGCCGAAACCACCCAGCTACGGGTGTACTCCCCACGATGACGTGTTCCTGCGCGTCGACTTGGTCTGGTAGCAACAATAAATCACTCGAACGCGGTGTTTGTATTTTGTCATTGGCCCGCGTGAGCAAATCATATCAATTTCTGACCGTTTGTGTTGTTTTCGAATGCGTGTGCGTGCCCTGTTTATGAGTTTATAGTTTCTGAAAGG